GTGTGTGTGTGTGTGTGTGTGTGTGTGTGTGTGTGTGTGTGTGTGTGTGTGTGTTGCATCAGAGCCCACCTGTGCTAAACACACCTCACACTCCACAGCAGATGGTGACGCTCGGCCAACAAGTTTGAAAAATATGATCTGTTCACTAGAGGTAAACATTCACACTAACAATCTGTGACGCTGTTTTAATTCTCCGGTGAACAGAGGTGTGTGTTTGACAACAGCATCACAATAATTCATGTTTATTAGAGTCAGAGCAGATCCTCAGGCTGAACACAGACGTGATGAACAACACATGATCAGAAACACATACAGACAAATGCACAGGGCATATTTCACCCCCAAATCAAAGGAGAAGAAATAGGGAATCATAGTATTTTACATAAAGAATTTTGTACATTGGGACATTATTTTCATGCACATTTTTCCTATTTTCCTTTTTAGATATTTTAAAATATATTAAATAAATATCTTTCTGTTCTAGTATTATATTTGGGTTAAAAAAAATTACTACAAAAAATCAGCTTTCACAATTTATTTGGATACTGATAAATTGCATGCAGCTTTTTATTAGCCTAATGCTTAATATCTTTTGTATATTTGTCTAATTTTTCTTATTTAGATATTTGTACATGTATAACAGAGTGTTTTTTGCTGTGTTAGTGTGTGCGTTCTGCAGCACACAGTTTAATGTTAAGATCTTTTATTTTCGTCGTCTTCTGGGATTTAATGACCTTTCCTCTGCTGTTCGATCACCTGTCTTCATCTGCGGCTCCTGTGGTTGTTTTTCAGCTGAAATCTCGGCCGTGGCGCGTCTCCTCTCACAGGAAACATGTTGCTTTGTTTGTGTGTCCTGCTGATGGGTGGCTCTGCTTCAAGTGTCACGTCTGTCCGCTTCACTCTTAGTTTTTCTGTCTCTCTCTCTCTCTCTCTCATGTCTGTCTGTGGCTGCTCTTTCACATCTAGAGACTGAGACAGGATTCTGGTCTCTGTGAAGTTAAAGCCGGTCTCCTGAAGGCAGGTTTAGCAGGAGTGTCGAGCAGGTGACACGCGGCGCAGACGGTCTGGGCAATCAAGCAGTTCAATCCGATTTACCTCCATGAAGCCCGTCTGTGAGCGCAATCCTGGCATGTGAAGAGAGAGAGAGAGAGAGATGGCTTTTGGAAAAATGGTGTCACATGTCGTATCACAATCATTGTGATTTTAAATAAACAATAACTACATACATGACTAAATGATGAAAAATAGGACTTCAGTCTCATAAGAGAACACCTTACTTCCTAAATATTTTTCCCCCGTGTTTTAAGCATAAATCTAAAATTTAGTAAGGTTTATATTTAAAACAAAACAAAAAAATCTGATTAGAAAAATCAACTTTATTCAATATATTTTCTCTTAAAACAAGTCTTATCATCTAAAGCAGTTTTGCTTTTTGAATAACTTCTTGTTTAGATATTTTTACTGAAACATAAGGACAAAAGTTTAAGAAAAATTACAAATCAGTGTTTATTATCTCAATTGTTTTTTGAGAGAGCAATGAGATTAAATTAAGAGCAAGTGGAAATGTTTGCTGAAGCCTACTGCTTCTCAGATGTTTTTCCTCTAATTTCATAATTAGAAAATGCAATATTATTAAAGCAAAACAATAAATACTAATAATTTATCTAATAACAATAGAATATAATACACTTTTTGAATGTACAGTTGTGAATTAGCATAATGATTGTATTTGTTGTATACTCAACTTCTGTCATGTAAAGAACTGTGCAGCTTTCCATTAATCATGCATGTCATTCTGTGTGCGAATTTTCACGACTGAAAACCAGACGAGTAATATTTGTGCAGCATTACACTCTAAAAAATGCTGGGTTATTTCAACCCAAAGTTGGGTTGAAATAACCCAGAATTTTTTAGAGTGTACTATTACTAGTGCTAATGAATGATTGAAAAAGTGAAAAAGTGACATGATGTGTGGCCAAGTATGGTGTCCCATAATCAGAATTTGTGCTCTGCATTTATCCCATCCAAGTGCACACACACAGCAGTGAGTAGTGAACACACACACACACACCGTGAACACACAGCCGAAGCAGTGCGTGTTCACTCAGTAACCACAAATTCTTCTAAATAAATGCAAAGACCTAGTTTTTATGTTTCTACACTGAAACAAAAATGCAGCAAAAATGTTGTCTTGATTTCCAGTACAAATAACTAAACAATCTTAAGTCAAGATACATTTACATAAGAAGCAAAATGATATAAATATTTCAGAAAACAAGACTTAACATCTTATCACATTTACAACATTTACTTGAGCAGAAAAATTCACATAAGATAAGTCTTTTTTTCTGAAAACTGCATCAAAATTAAGTGAGTTTGAGCTTAAAATACGAAGAAAAAAATATCTGCTAGCGGGATAGGAAAACAAACTTTTCTACTTTTCTACTTTCTTTTTTTTCTTGTCTTCTGAAAAATGTATCAAAATAAAATGTTGCTTCTCAAGTAAATCTTAGTATCTTGATTTAATAATGTTAGATATTTGTACTACAAGACAAAAATGCTAAAAAAGAAAATAATTTTTGCAGTGTTGTGTAGGATTTACTTTGAAATTATTTTCACTCAGAAATTGCTAGTAAATTTCACAATTAATTACATATAACAAATGGGAAGTAACACACTGAATTAAACTCAAAATATTTGAAGTAGAAACGATGAGATTTTATGGAAGCTTGATTCCGTCTTGAAAAAAAAAAAAAAAAAAGAAAAAAGATAATTGTGACTTTTCACAATGCTGAGAGAAAAAAAGGTCAGAATTGCAAGGGAAAAAATTCACAATTGCAAGCAAAAAAATCAGAACTGTTAGATAAAAAGTTGCAGTTACCTTGCAGAAAAAGTTGCGGAAACAAACTTCCATAGTATTGTCTTCTAAAACATACTCCAATAAACTTAGCTTGATGAATAATTTTTTACATTGCATATTCTAATTCTCTCTCTTCCTGTTTTTCTCCAGGGTTTCTGTTTCTCCCCGGTGGGCTCATGCTCCTGATCTAGGGTGGGGGGGCATTGCCCCGTTCTGCCATGAAAGGCTACACCCCCCAGCGCGCCCGCCCCCTGTCCGACTGCGAGCCGCCCCGTTCTCCCAGTCACCGGGACCCTCGGTACCCCTCGTCTGCCTCCTCCACCCTGTCCCACGCCCCGTTTCTCCTCCCAGCAGCCATGGAGCATTACGGAACCCTGGACCCTCACCACTTCTCCCCGTCACCCGACTGCCTGATGCCCCTCAACGACCAGCTGTCCTCCAGCAGCACCTTCCCCCGGATCCACTACAACTCGCACTTCGATCAGGGCGACTTCGGTCACACAGCTGACAGCATCGGGGGAATCAGCTCCGGGACGCTGGGGACATCTATGTCCATGGGAATGGGTCTCGGAGTGGGACGGACTGCCATGATCACCAGCGGATCCGCAACTATATCGGGTAAGAACTGTAGGGCTGTCTTGAGAAACTTTTATAAAAAGTTAGCTGTATGCAGCTAAACATCATAAAAATAAATGCAAAATTGCATAAATAAATAAGACTTACTTTCTAAATTGCTTCTTTTTTCATCTTTTAAGCATGAATTTAATGAGGTTTATGTTTAAAACAAACAAAAAATAAATAAACTTAAAAGGTTTGGGGTTGGTAAGATGTTTTAATGGTTTTGAAAGAAGTCTCTTCTGTTTATATGATAAAAAAAAACAGTACTGGTAAAAACAGTAATATTGTGAAATATTATTACAATTTAAAATAATTGTTTTCAATGTGAATATATAGTAAACTGTAATTTATTTCTGTGATGCGCAGCTGAATTTTCAGCATCATTCCTCCAGTCTTCAGTGTCACATGATCTTCAGAAATCAGTATAATATGCTGATCTGCTGCTCGAGAAACATTTCTGATTATTATCAGTGTTGAAAACTGTCGTGCTGCACAATATTTTTGTGGAAACAGTGATACATTTGATTTTTCAGGATTCACAGATGAATAGAAAGTTCAAAAGAACAGCATTTATTTGAAATAGAAATCTTTTGTAACATCAATATCTTTACTGTAACTTTTGATACATTTAATGCATCCTTGCTGAATAAAACAATGAATTTTTTTTTAATGGAACACATAAGATAATTATATAATGTCTATGCTGCTCTGGAGGCTGTTGAACCATAAAAGTATTACAACAGTCCTCCATATGACTCATGCACATATACAAATCATATAAAACTGACTAAAATTTAAGTTCATTGTCCAATATCATTTATAACATTCAAACTTGGCACCTCGTAATATTTTTTACTTGATTTATCAGTGACATCAAACCTGGCGTGCCACATCTTCTTCATATGTTGGTTCTGGTGTAATTATATGGCAGTTGTTGTTGTCTCCTGTCTTTTAATAAACTCTTCTTCTTTTTTTAAACTTACCTGTATAAATGAAGTGTTTCTTCCAGACCTGGAAAAATTAGAAAAACACCAGACCTGCAAAATTAGTGCTGATCACAATTTTCAAGGTGCAGTTAGTGATGAAGCAAACAGAGCAATGGATGCAAGGCCTGTAAACCTCAGAGATGTGTGAGAAATAAAAGACAAAGGAGTCAGCTGACCTTCAGAATGTATATCTTGTTATTAAAGACTTTTTTCATGTTTCTTAAAATACAACATAAATCATTTGCATTTTCTTTGAAATAATAATGACAGAATACTGTTTTGTATTTGCATAACATTATTCTACATTTTACTGCTAAATTCACTTTCAAAAGCTAATTAGCACCTGGTTAAGTTGACAAAAATTTCTGTGAATAAGATGCAGGGTTTTCACACTGAATTATCACATGTTGCTTTATGAATTTTGAGTTTATCCTGATTTACCTTCCTGTACTTTTGGCATTTAGGGGCAGGGAAGATGAACCGGTTGACACCCAACCTCCTGGACCAGTTCGAGAAACAGTTGCCAGGGCAACAGGACGGCTTCAGCACGTTACAGTTCCATCGCAGCACTGCGGTGACGACGACCAAACAGCAGGAACAGCAGCGCACGGACAGTCCGGGAAAAATACGCTACTTAGTTCACTCCGTCCAGAAACTGTTCGCTAAATCCCAGTCGCTGGAAAACTCCGCCATTAAGGGAAACATGAACGGCCGCAACAGCAGATCGTCGAGCAGCGATGACAAAAACCATCGGAGCAAAAGCAAAGACCGGGTAAAGAGCGAAGGAACGGCCAAACGGAGGCCTCGATCCAATATGTCTGGATACTGGAGTTCTGATGATTTGGACAGTGATATAAGTAACTATAGGAACCCAAAGGCCATGATGACTTTGGGTCGGCAAGGGGTGGGATCCGGACCAGGGCCGGGCGGACAGGTGGCATCCAGGTACTTCATGCAGGGCTACAGCACCATGAGCGAGCACATGCTGAAATCCTCAAAGAGTAACAGTGACCTGAAGCACCAGGGGCTCCCTGCACTCCCGGGACCTGGTGGCGGCAGTGGAGGTGGTGGGGGGATCGGAGGAGGCCGAGGGCCGATGTTTGACGGGAACTTTGGTAAAGGGGGACCCTGGTCCACGCTTACATTAGGACCCACCAGACAGGTGTGCCAGAAGGGCTCGGCCACACTGGATCGCACCCTGCTGAAGTCCAAATCTGTCCAGCAGGATATGGGCTGCCACTTCCTGCAGGTGCACGGGAGGGTGAGTGCATGGATAACACACGGTTATTGTGTACTGTATTACTGTGGTGGAAGCAAACCTCAGTGGGCAAGGGGGTGATAGAGTGTCTTTAGATCAGGTGTGTTCAGCCTAAGGTATACTGCAGTTTTAAAGCAAACACTTAAGGCCCTCATATACTCACAGCAAAGTTATTTTTCGTTCTTAGCTCATGAGTAAACATAAGTTCACTGTTCATAATTTCAAGTTTTATTATGTACAGAAAGCACATACTCTATTTCTCCTGCTTTCTGTCCCTTACAAACGCACTCACAGTACAGACACACACACGCACACACGGATACACGCACAGAAACGTGTTAGCGCTACTGTGACGATTTTATCAGTAAAATTATTTAGCAACTTAAAAGCTACAGAATATTTCTCACAAGGTTGTATCGTTGCGAAGTGATGGTTGAGTAGAAATTAAAAAAATACAGCACTCCTAATTTGTTGCAATTTGTAATTCTGTAGCATTATGTGCGTGTGTGTGAGTGTGTGTGTGTGTGTGTGTGTGTGTGTGTGTGTGTGTTGTGTGGGTGTGTGTGTGTGTGTGTGTGTGTGTGTGTGTGTGTGTGTGTGTGTGTGTGTGTGTGTGTGTGTGTGTGTGTGTGTGTGTGTGTGTGTGTGTGTGTGTGTGTGTCAGGGTTTTATTTATCATGTAGCTTTCAGACAAATTCCACAAATATGGTACACTTTGGCATATTGTGATGTTTATAAAGTATTAGAGATTCAAATCTCATGTTGTTGTTGCAAGAACTATAATATGTGTTATCTAACATAAAATTAACGTTTAAAAACATTAAATGTCTGAATTCCTCATTATAATGGGGTGTTTTATTTTCTTAATGTGATGTTTATTAAGGGCTAAATCTGAAATGAGAACACAAAAATAGATGACCATCAAGTACAGCAGTTTAGATGACTGGCTTTACAGAAAACACAGAAGAACGTGTAGTTTCTTTCTTAATATTTTTGTCTTGTTCTCCATTACAAATATCTGAACCAAGATATATAAGAAGATATTTAAGATATATAAGCAGCAAAATGACATTAAATACTAAGTCTTGTTTTCTGGTGTAAATATGTTTCCATTTAAATTAAGTTTATATTTCTGACCCCACTGGAATATATATTCTTTCTTGTTTTAAGCATAAACTCAATTCTTTCTGATACAGTTTTCAGAAGTCATGTCTTGTCATGTCATTGAATGTTTGTCCTAGACTTTTTTTCTACTAGATTTTTAAAATGTCCTTCACACTAAGAAAAAAAACACTTAAAGGTTCTTTGGGGAACCAAAAATGCTTTTTCAATGGCATTACTGTGAAAACCACCTTCTGGAAGCTTTATTTTGAAGCTTGTAGTCTGTAAATCAGAATGCCTGTGAACGTGCATCTGCAGTGTCTGTCTGATGTTTGTTCAGATGCCGTCCACCGGCGACTGGATGGGGACTCTGGGCCGAAGCGGGCCCATGGGCGAGATCCCCTGTAGACGGATGCGTAGCGGCAGTTACGTCAAAGCCATGGGCGACCTTGAGGATAGTGACGACTCTGACGGGAGTCCCAAACCCTCGCCGAAATGTGCCGCACGGAGGCAGAGCTACTTACGCGCAACACAGCAATCACTAAGTGACCAGTTCCCCTCAAGAAAGTAAGTCAACACAATATATGATCAATACATGCACATATTGTTTGTGTTCATTATTAAAACAAAACTCACATATGCACCAGTGTTAATTTCGTTGACAAATAATTTTCGTCATAATTTTCGACGACATATTTTTCACAGACAACAGTATAAATCTGATGACGCAAGAGAGAACTCAGTTTGGTTCGGTTTTCTGAGCACAGACACTGAAGCACACACACAGAAAGCGCCTCTCACAGCGCGCGAGTACTCTTTCGCGTCGCATGAACGGAGAATTACACACAAAATGATGTCGAATTGTCTGTTTTGACAAGTGTTCACGTAAACACCTTTGATTACGTCTTAAGTGAACGTAAACAGCAAGGAGAACGTGTATCAGTACATTGCATCCATTGCAGCTGTGCATTCGGTTTTAAAGGGACAGCAGCCTAATTTATTTGCTCTTGTCCGAGTCATTGATATTAATCAAGCAACAACAGAAAGACAGAAAATCACGCACTGCTCTTGACTGAAAAACTTTAGTAGCCCTAAAGATTAATCTCAATTTATTTATAGAAATAAATATGTCTGCTTGAAAGAATGAAGAATATGGTAAACAAGTTGCTATAAAGAATGCATAATTAGTCTATATAACCATTGGTATTTCATTAAAAAGAAAGCCATGTTCTTGTTCTTTATGAGACGTGGTTTTATTTAATTTTAACATAAAGGCATGTTGTGCGTCACCGCAGTTAAACCGGTGGCTATCATGATAAAACCTTAATATCAAACCTATATAATGAGTTTGGAAATTTGAGAGAAATGCTTAATAAATGCACTGTAACTAAAACCATTAGATTTTAGCCGACTAAATCTACTGTAGATTTACTCAACTAAAATCTTATGATATTTAGTCGACTAAAACTAAAAGCAATTCAGATGACTAATTTATGATGGCATTTTAGTCAAAAGACTATGACTAAAACTAAATCCAAATTTGCTGTCAATATTAACACTGGTACAAACACAGAAACACTCACTGGTGGTCTGCCACGACGCCAGAGACCCCATCTGAGGTGTGAGCTCCGTTATTTCATGCCTTCTGCATCAGGATGAGTTTATCGGTGTTGCTTCTCTCTCATACATGCATCAGAATCCAGCTGTGCTTGTTCATCTGCTAGATTAAGCACAGCTAGTCTCTCTCCTCCTGCATATGCTGAGCCTCGCACAACCTTTCTGCTGCTCACATGTAAAGAAATCTCATCTTTTTGGTCTTGAGCAGTAAAGTTGCTAGTTTATGGACATGAAGTCTATTGGCACTGTCAACCAACTGTGATTTTTTTATTTTTTTCCATGGGGTTGGGTTGTATGTGAAATAATTGCAAAAACACGAGTTGATTTTTTTCCGCATCCATTTGGGTCACTTTTAAATGTGGTTCTAAATCAAATCTGACATCAAGAAGTCTCATTCAGACAATAATGGAGTTTAGTATAAATTGTAAAGTATTTGCTATATTTGTTGTGCTGCGTTTCATTTATGCTGATTTAAATAAAACAAATATTGTGTCTGGACAGGATGAATCTCGTTACTTTATTAGAGTGCAGCGTTGTTTTAGTAAAACTAAATATTTTACTAAATATATACTACTACTGCAGTATTTATTTATATTTTGAATGAGCTTTCATTTTTATATTCTCAGTTTTCATTTTACATATTGTGTAGTTTTTAAGTTTTTAAGTTCAAGTTTTTCATTTCATATTCACATTTCTATTTTAGCTTTATTTTAAGTTTTTGTTAAAAATCATAAAGAAATAATAGAATTATTAATTGTAGAATAATAGGATTTTTTTGCAATATTTTTTTATATTATACTTTCAGTTTTGTGTTCATGTTTTGGTGAGATTGTCCCTAATAGCTCTTACCTTCCTCTCCTAACCCTGATTGTTTAGACTATGTTTGCAATGGCATACTAGCTTATTGCTTACCAAATACTTTGCCGTTTACACTGTATTCTGATTATTATTATTTTTAAAAATAGCTAATTAAATAAAACATTTTTAAACATTATTAATGCTAAATTGTTGTCACATGACCTCATCACGATGCATGTGAGTAGCATCCAGTTGACATAGTAATTTAATTTTGTGTAAAAATATCTTTGCCAGTTCAATCAAATAATGATTAAAAAAATAGATTAAAAAAATGACTGCTGCTTTATTAATTGCATTGCATAGTGAGCAAATATAGTACGTTATTCAGGTATTACATGCATACAGAATTGTTGCATATTGTGCACAGTACTATGTAGACCTGGAATAGTAAAAGCAGTATGTTAGTATGCTGTTCTGAACATAGTGTTTGTCTCTCTGTGTGTTTTTCAACTTCTATAAGTTTCCCTTTAATGTTCAAACTTGTTGGTTTGAAGCCCCGCCTCTTCTGTTTTAAGCACCGCCCTCTTTCTGCACTGTAAGCTCCTCCCCGTCTCACCCTGTAACCCTGCCTTCTCTCCAGCCGTCTGCTGGACTACTCGATGCTGCAGGGGGATCTGGAGGCTCTCTGGTCCCCCCTCCACAGCATCAGCACCCTGCAGCAGATCGGACGCTCTGTCAGGTCAGTGCAGTGAGGAGAAATCTGTCCGACTGACCGGCCGCAGCTCCTCACTGACCGCACAAAGGACTCGTCGCACCAGTGCTGCTTTCCTGAACTCCTCTCAAATTAGGAGTGCTGATTGAAAATTGGTTTACTATTGGTCACTATTAATTCTTGAAACAGTTCTCCTACTCTGAGATGTTTAGTCTGAGGGGGTTTTCTCCATACAGCACATTTGTGGACAGATCTGATGTTTGGGTTTTGTTTGCATTGCACCATTGCAGACAAGTGGATTGTGATTTGGAGAGAGAGAAAGCCTCCTCAGCGCTTCTAATGCTCACTCTGACTGCTATAAGAGCTCTGATTGGACGCTGAATGTAAGCTAGAATGGAGTACTTTGCTGATTGGTCATTAGCTGTGCTGCTTCAGTCTGATTGGATCGTCAAACTATTTGAGGAAACTGGTTTTTATTTTAGAGCAGCAATCTCCTGTGTTCACCTGGCTAATGACACAAATCAGCTATGATAGATGGATGGATGATGAAAAGATGGATGGGTTCATTTAAAAAAAAAAAAAAGCCTGGAAAGATGGTACATTTCCTAATATGTAAATGCTTCTTCAGTAGTTGTGTTACAGCTTCTCCATTTCCATGTGCTTTTTGTATAGTAGACCAGGGGTTTTCAATCTTTTAGATGCCACGGACCCTCAGATGTAATCATCCTCGTACGAGGGACCCCCATCCTAATAGCAAAAAGGCACATAGTGTCTTTTATAAAGACCCAGTTTATACTGTGAAAAATTTATATCATGATAAGTTTTTCTACTCAATATAGTACTGTACTGTTAGATGTATTATTTATTTATTTATTACTTTCATTTATTTATTTTAATCTAATTTATGTTTATTTCATTAAATCACATTTTTATTTTTGTTTAATCTGATTTGCATTTGTTTATTTAAATCTGATTTAATTTGTGTTAATTTCCATCTTATTTTTACATATTTTAAAATATATTTACAAATATTTTAATCTTTTTTTATTATTTATTTTTACACTGTTTTACTTTTATTGGTTTATTTTATTTATTTAATGTTTTATTTTTATTTAAATAGTTTACAATTCTTTCTATTTTTAAATTAATATATATTTTATTAATTTGTTAAATCCAATTTTGTTTATTTATTTTCACCTTATTTTTATTTTTTTTTATCTTGCAATTATATTTAATTTATTTTGTTTGTCTTTTATTCTATTTCTATTTTTTTTTTTACACTTTTTCTCAAAATATTTCCACTGGCCCCCCAGCACTCCCTTGTGGCCCCTGGGGGTCCCCGGCCCCAGTTTGAAAACCCCTGTAATAGACAATAAAGCACTTGAGCTGCTTTTGTCCTTTCTCTCATCTCCTGCCTCTTCTCTTCTCTCTGTGACCCCGGTCCCCTTCCTGTCCTCAGCTGTCTTCCTTCTCTGCGAGAGTACTCTGGGAATCGCAGTCTGGATAACCTGGACTGCATTGGAGGCAGTTCTCCGTTCCCAAACTGGGATGATGACGACTTCAGTCAGGGCTGCAGCACGCTGGGACGCGGCAGCTGCATCAGTCAGGTCAGACCCCTCATGACCTTTGAGTTCATTATAGGACACGGCTAGCAGATGAGGATGAAGATGCGTAATTTGCACTGAATATAATGACAGTCTTTCTGTTAAATAACTTAAGAAATTGACTGATTTATCAGTGTGTCACTTGTGACATTTGAGATTATACAAATGGTCCATCACAGCTCACAAAGCTTAGAGAAATGCATCAGCTCAAAGAGTAATTAGTAATTATAGCTGCAGTCCGTAAGTTTTGCCTCTTTGTCGCCATCTCTGTTTGAAAACCTGTAATTGCAGCTGTGTGTGGAATTATCTTCCTTGCGTGGGTTGTGCTCCGGCACGGCTCCAGCACGGATGAATCTAATGTTCTGAAGAGTATGTGTGGCAGTCAGTCAGATTCTATACGTCTTGGAATATATGACTCAAATAAGCATTTTCACCATATATTGCCATCTGAACAAGTAACAAGTCTGCCACGTTTGTTCTGACCAACTGAGGAAAAAAGCATTACCATAAATCTCGCTACCAGTGGTGATTAAATCTAAAGATCGGTTAGCTCATATCACATCAAACCGTTCAAATTATTATTATTGTTATACTTTATTCTCAAATGATTAATGTTAACAACATCAGCATTGCGTGACTATGAGTATAGTGTGTGTATAAGCGTGTAGATTTCAATTTCTGCACAGACTAATCTAATTGTCATACTCTTCGAATTTCATATTCAGAAATTCTTTTAACCCAAAAAGCAAATTATGCTCCCTTTGAACTGGTTTTCTTTAAAATATAAATCTTTGCAATCCCAGGCTATCTGTAATCAGAAGCACATTTATAACTGGAATATAATTTAATTTCATTCACATGTGTTTCATAAACACATAATCCTTTCTGGATTACAATCCGCCATCAAAATGATACATTTAATTATTCCGGCTGCTGTGAGAAAAGGCTATAAACGATCGGCCACCTGCAGGATCCTCACATGCGACAGCCTAGTAGCCGGGACAACTTCTTTATGTTTACAGACGTGACGTAATGACGCAGTGCCATGCTCGAATTTTCCTGCGAAAACCTACTCGTACCACTCAAATTAGAAAACAGTATTATAAGCTAACCGCTGTGAATCAGGCTGAAGTAATAGCTACAATACTAGAATGTTTAATCTTCCTACTTCTTGATGTCACCTTTCAATTTTGACTGTGCATTTTTACTAACTTCTTAGCAGACTTTAATAGCTGTGTTCAGAATAGTGTACTACCACACTACTCTTTGTGCAGTATGCATGCAGCGCACAGTTTGCACATTTTCTGTATAATTGCATTTATGCAGTTTTTTTTTCATTATTACATATTTATTTGCATTTTGATAGTATGAATGCAGTGCATGAATGCCCTACTACATTTTCCAAACTGTGCTGTAAAATCAGAGCAACTGTAGAATGATTTCTGAAGGATCATGTGACACTGAAGACTGGAGTAATGATGCTGAAAATACAGCTGCGCATCACAGAAATACATTACAGTTTAACACATATTCACATAGAAAACAGCTGTTTTAAATTGTAATAATATTTCACAATAATTCTGATTTGATTGTATTTTTGATCAAATAAATGCAACCTTGTTGAGCATAAAAGTCTTCTTTCAAAAACATTTTAAAATCTTAATTCTTCCAAACTTTTGGCAGCCAGTGTGTATATAATGCATACTGCGCAGTATTCAGTAATGTCATTGTGAACGTAGCCATGCACCCGTCACAGTTCTTTTTCTGTCATGCCAGCCCACATCACCTGCCACTGTCCCAGCAGGTGCGAGACATGGAGTTGAGCCAGCATTATGGAGATGAGCTGGAAGACATGCATCCTCACTCACGATGCAACGATCCTCCTGACATGCCCATGCCCACATGCTTCCGCTCCCGAAGCCATAGTTACCTTCGTGCCATTCAGGCCGGCTGTTCTCAAGACGACGACACGGCGTCAATGGATTCTGATTCACCGCCGCCCACGACCACAACGACCGTACGCACCTACAGAAACAGCACCGGTGAGTACAGACGTCACATGACCAGTGTTCAGAGAATAAAGAGAATAAGACATCTCCGGTGAACATTTAAAAAAGAAAAGAATTTCAAGAATTGATGGTAATGCTGACTGGAGTCCTGTCAGAAAAAGTTAAGTCATGCTGTTGATCTAATAACACAAAATAAGCTGAAATTTGATATATGCATTGATATATATGCATTTTTATTTTTATTATAAACATGCCCAGTATTTATAGATGTAGCGAACTAAATCATTTTCACTCAAGTGAATATTTCTAATATATTTCTAAATTAATACTGAGTTTTTTTTTTTAGATCATATATACACAAATATATACACACAATAAAAAAACTCATATACACAAACTGTAGTGCACAAAAAAACGTTTAAACATTTTCACTGCTGTTGCACAGGATGGAGGAAACACTGAACACACACCTTTTGTGACAACTTGCCCCGACAGCAGCTCATGGGTGTCCCACTATAGTATAAGTTGTCATAATGAAACCTGCCATTTTATAGGTATTTTTAGGCAAGTAAATCATTAAAAAACAAATATGAAAAATAAAACCATGTGACAACTAGCCCTGGTCTCTCCGTGTCATGGACTTCTGCAGTGTGGTGACCGAATCCCCCTCGAGGTTTGATTTAAATTAATAAATGTAAATTAATGAATAGAGTTGTTGATATAGAAAAATGTTGCATACAAAAATTTGTGCTTTGTGCAAAAGTATTTGGTTTTGTTGATTTATTTTCTCTGTTTTACATTTTTATTTTATTTTATTTTATTTTTTAGAGTGTCACCCCTTGGACATATATAATTTATAATTATTGTGTGTTGCTTGATTTTGTGAAATTTGCTGTTTCTATTTAATTTACTTTTGCACAATTATATATTAAATTTTTTTTCTTTTAATCTGTTTTATTTTATTTTATTTTTAATTTGACAAAACAATAGTATTTTTCTTTGCGAACATCTGAAGCAGAGCGAGAGAGAGAGAGAGAGAGAGAGAGAGAGAGAGAGAGAGAGAGAG